GCTGCGCATGCCCAGCGTGGGTGGGGAAAGCCCCGGTGCCTGCCCGTGGCTCGCAGCCAGAGGGAGGGAGCGGGAGGGCTGGCTGCTCCAGGCCAGCTCTGTCCCACAGTGCCCAGCCTGGCTGGAGGGCACGTGAGCTCTGCCAGAGGGCTCAAACCCAGAGCTGTTCCTGTGATGCTGAGTGCTGGGGCCCAGCCCGGCTGGGTGCAGGAGCTGTGCCCGGGGGGCTGGCAGGGAGCTGGACTTATCCCACCAAGGGGGTTGTGCCCCAGAGAGGGGTCTAGAAGCTCAAGCAGAGTCTTAGGACCCCCCTCCTGCAGGAGCTGCTCTGTCCACTGCTATCCCTGCCTTGCCCTGCTCCCATCCCGCCAGGCGTCCTGAGCCGGGTCGGTGCAGCCAGCGGCAGAACCCGGTCCCCAGGCTGCTCTGACTGCAGCGCTGTCCGCGCCGTGCTGGCATCGCCTTGGGGTATTGATCCCGGTTCCCAGAGGAGGCCTTGCTCGGTGGCACAGCCGGCACGTGCTCTGCCCATCGGCACGACACCGGGTCCCCAGGGCGCTGTGGTGCACGGCGGTGCCACGGGCTGCCACGCGGCTCCCCGCCCCAGAGCTGGGTCATCCTCGTGGCCCCCCAGGCTCTCAGCTGTACTTTGCCTGCGGAGCTTCCCATGGCCCTGAGGCTACTGCTGAGCAGCAGGGTCCGGATGAGCCTTGCATGGAGCTCAGCCCTGCTGGCTGCCCTGACGCAGCGCAGGGCCCTGTTCGGGGCTGGGCAGGTTGCTGCCCCACGTGTGGCACAGCCTGGCCAGGCCGCGGGCCCCGGGGCATCGCTCCGGCCCTTCTAACCTCTTTTTTTTCTTCTTCTTTTTTCTCTCTCTCTCTCTCTCTTTCTACCCCTAGGGAGCAAAACCCAAGGTGTGGTGCAAGGCGTCACCTCAGGTGCTGCTGCCCTCCAGCTCCCTGAGACACCCCGCATTCCCAGGCCTGGGGTGGGCAGCTGCGCTAACGAGATCAGAGGCTAATTGAGGGGCCGTGATGTCACCCGGCTAAAGCCTCTTATATAACTGGGGCCGCAACTCTCTCTCTCTTTCTACCCCTAGGGAGCAAAACCCAAGGTGTGGTGCAAGGCGTCACCTCAGGTGCTGCTGCCCTCCAGCTCCCTGAGACACCCCGCATTCCCAGGCCTGGGGTGGGCAGCTGCGCTAACGAGATCAGAGGCTAATTGAGGGGCCGTGATGTCACCCGGCTAAAGCCTCTTATATAACTGGGGCCGCAACAAAGGATTTGTGGCTGCTGCTCACACTGTGTGCCCAGCTGCAGAGCCGCATCCCAGCCCCCTCCCGCGGAGCAGCAGGAGGAGGGAATGGCCCCATCCTGCTCTGCAGGCCCCAGGGCCCCC